AACCCTTCAACACGAGACATACAACTCCGGCGAGCCAACTCGTACCCGTGCGAGCCAGCACGTTTGGCATCTTCCTTGGGCCTATAGAATCTCGAGCAAGCTTCTCCACAGCACCGCTCACGCCGGTCATTACGGTTATTGTACCTGACCTCATCTACACCGGAGCCAATCCTGGTCCTCAGAGTAGATTCTTGTCGATACCGCCGTTCTGAGCTGTCGCCCTCGCGGGTCATCTAAACAACACTATTGAGCGTGGTTGACGAGAGGAGTGACGATATCTGGCAACAAGAGTTCGTGTGCAGGCTTGGGATATTGAGCACAGTCGAAGTCTTCGAAACAGATGTGGTGCCCCTGAATGTGTTACCCGAGCGGGTGTACGAGATCATTCGATACGCCGGAGACAGCAACTATAACGTGAGCGTGAGCGTCGATAAGGGGATTGGGCCTTCTTGAGAGGTGAGCCAAATGGTCCAGTCTCCCCGTGTGATGATGTTAAGGAGGTCATACGCCGACTGCGCGATTTTCTGCCAGCCGACGTGGGAACACTTGACATCAGGAACACGGACTGCGAAGAACTAGGAGAAGACATTCCTGTCTACAAGATTTACTTCTACCCGTGAGAGCCGCCCAGCAGTTGTGGTGACCCTGGTGGTCGCTTGGTGGTGAACAGTAATGTTCTTACCTCACCTTCATTTTACAAAAAACCTGATCAACCCTTTAGTACACCCACCCTGTCTGACCCTGTCTGAGGTCCCTTTAGCATCCGAACGCGCAGTACGGTTCGACATACCCACACAAGGTGGTTGCACCGGATAACCCCTTAAAGCTCCACTGCTGGCATTTCATCCAAGCACGACGGCAGCGCCATACTGGCGACGCGTGTATATGGCATCAACTCGCCGCCACCCAGTCCTCGAACTCCTCCTCGGTCAGGAACGCAAACGGGAAGAACACGCATTCATATCGTCACTCCTTGCGTTCCTTGGAGTGCTTGTCGAATTGACAAGGACGCTTAAAATCAGGAACCAACCAAAACGGCCAGAATGATACGGCGCGTTGGTAGTTGTGAGAGGTCA